CTTCGACGTGATATTGCTGGATTATTGCTAAAGCGGCGTAAAACTAAACTCACAAGTTTTGTCAGTCCGCACTATCGTCGCAAGTGAATCGCCCGGGTTAGTAATTTCGGCGTAGCGATAACTGAGTCCAGTGTTAGGTTTATGTTTTAGAAAGCAGGATTTCTGGACCAGTCTGGTCCGAAATTATCTACATTGTATGTGTAATATTTAATCTTTGAAATGGGATGTTGAGATAAGCCATGCTATGTGTATTTAGGTAACGGCAGATATCCAGTTTGTATCTGGATATAATAGGTAAACCTTTAGCAATGTTTGATGTAAATTATTCACGAATATCTTCAGTAGATGTTATAAAGTGCTGCACTAAGAGAGAGGGCGCATTTCGTTCGCAATTTTCCAGCTTTAGGACGACGGTCTGTAAAAAAGAACTGGACAAGAAATCCATTGATCGACAGCATGAGAAACGGTCTGCATGTCTGCAACTGGGATACCATAACATGGGTGAGGCATATAGAAATGTATGTATCACCTGCTGAAGTTTGTCTTAATGTGTCAGATATATATATTCAATTCGTGTCATATGTGTTAAGATGTTTCTGTGTTGATGATTAAGACATACACATAGTAAATGATCATGTCAATATTATAAATATGTACCCGTGAAGGTCCGGGTTAGAATTGATCTTCAGTAACACGTGCTTGTCGTAACAAACGACTAACGGGATCGGCTGAACAGGCTCGCTGACTGGGTTGACACATGCCATCGTATCCCAATTGCGTAGATCGATGTTCATGATGTCGATCACTGGATTGTCTGGTCCAGACTCGATTATTTACAGACCGCCGCCATATAGCTGGAAGTAAAACTAAACTCACTCACTATAAATATGTAATCTCATCAAACCGATATCAATCTGCATAAGAAACAATATTCAAACATCGAATGTCTCGCATTCAGTGTCGTCCACCCAGCTATTATACCTCTTTTAGCTCTGAAATTCTGCACTCAAAACACACACACACACACACACACACACTCCTGAGAGTTTCAAGAACTTCTGTCCTGCCCCACAACGAAGCACATGTGATACATTTGGTCTCACCTTAGGCAAGTGAGTTTGTTCAACATTGCCTCTGTTCACCCAGCAGAAAATGGGTACCCGGTTTGATAAAGTCATGTGACTATAACCTTCTGGCGCCTAACAGGCAGCTTGGGTTATCCGGGGTAATAATAATCAGGGTGTTGCGTGGTGATTAGCGCATTATAAGTCTTCTCATTATTATTATTATTTACACACACACACACACATTCAATTGTATTGTAATAAATAAATATTGAAAGATGTCAGGAAAACATAAAACGCCCCACGTTGTGCTCTTACCCTTTTGGTTCAGTAAGTCTACATTTGGAACATATATATGTTCCAATCTGTTGCAATTATACAACATGAATGGGAGATAGCATAACGGTCAAACACGCCTCGCCAGGTACACTTACTTACCCTTGTAGTTTAGTAATTTCCCACTTGAACCATAAATATGTTGAAACATGGTATCATATATCAGGACTGAGAGACAGTCGGGAAGCAAGGTGCCATGACTACAGGGACATGTAGATGTATATAAACATATATGAAAAGTAACATTCAAACTCACACAGTAAATCAACTCCAATGTGAGTTTGGGTGTGTATTCTTTGTTACCTCATTTTCATGCAATATTTCAAAGTGTTAGCTTGGTCACCTTATATGCCTGTTGCCGGTAATCAGGTTATCTATCTGGTTTATCTAGGCTACTGATCACAATGGGCGGGCCGTTTCTGTTATTCAAAACGTTGTCGGAAAATGTGTCGTGTCAGTTTGTTATTAAACAGTGCACCCAGCAATATTTCAGCTGCATGATGGCACTCTGTAAGTTATCGACTGGACAATGCGGTGATTACTATCATTAAAATACAAGTTAGAATATGATGACGTAGAATCGAACAAATCTCTTTTCAAACATGGCCGCCGCCATATAGCTGGAATATTGCTGAGTGCGGCGTAAAACTAAACTCACTCACTTTTCAAACATGGGATGCTGAGTACCTATATCTTTACCTGAAGGAATAGTTAACGATGTGGTGTTGTTTTGATTGTATATTTATGACATTAGGAATTTCTAATGTCACCAGAATCTTTCCACGAATACCAACCTATATGTCTAACCTATATGGAACTGGTGTATATGTAATCAGAGGACAATGTAACTAATATTCTATGACCACAAACGCGCACGGAAGACCGAAGGAAGCGCTTCCTTTTCGAGATTGTTGTACTTTAAACAGTATTTTGAAGAGCAATGGAGAAAGAACAAACAGGTTGTGGTCACATGCTCACGTAGGCTGTCAGACGCATGACGTATTCTCATCCAAATCACAGACAGTCACCACACTACAAGTTGTGAATTCTTTTTTGGCATTGAGTGACATGACAAGGTATGTGTTTACAAGCACACACCTGGTATATGTTTTAACAACCATCCTGCAAAATATTGTGTGAATGGTAGATTTCTACAGAGTATATTGTCACAATATCAACGCAATGCGTGGTCAATGCAACGTTTAACTTTTGTGCTTGAGCATCATACACCATTAAATGTTTTTAATATTGTGTACTGTTGGTTCAGATATATGGACATTAGTACCACCTCACTGCACATGACTATACTACCCGTGAAGGTCCGGGTTAGAATACTGATCTTCAGTAACCCATGCTTGTCGTAAGAGTCGACTAATGGGATCGAATGGTCAGGCTCGCTGACTTGGTTGACACATGTCATCGGTTCCCAATTGCGCAGCTGGATGCTCATGCTGTTGATCACTGGATTGTCTGGTCCAAACCTGCATAAGTGGGATGGCCAGGAGACATAGGAATGTCAGCAGTAGAACACTTACGACAGGATGGCCTGTATCTTGGGCTGAAATACGTAACAGTGAAAAGTCATTAAGGAACCTACGTTAGTATTGACGTGAAGATGTTTAGTGACGTTTTTTTTTATTCTTATGCACAAGTTGACATGACAGGAAATAGTTTCTAGACAATGTCATCATATATCATATCATACACAGTGTTCAAAATGAATATGAGTATGGAAAAAGTATGTATGTGTATACCATCCATTTGTGGATGTAAGGGAATATATGAAATGTCCACACTTGATGATGAAGAAGTAGATAACTTGAACAAGAATGGCCACCAGGTGGTGACCTGTGGCTATACCTGCAGCAAATATGTCACCTGTAATTATAAACAATATAGGTATTAAGACCAAAAGACTGATTTTAGTCTTACTTGAATGACTTATACATCTTTCTTAAATTTTTATCCACCCTCCTAAAAGTTTCTCAACCTAAATGTTAATATGGGACATTGTGTCTGTTTCATGCCAAGTATGTTACAGACACATATAATCTGTTCTTGCGTGAACAGCGAATGTTTTGTATGTATTTTTGTTTGTTCTATTAAAGCTGGACGAAATAATATTACAGTGAGATGATTCATTTACTCGCATCGTACCACAGGCATTGATTACACTGTACTAGTTCTCAATTCGTAGACATGTAAATAAAAGCGACAAACCCCTTTCCACGTCCATAAGAAATCTCTGCTAAAAGCGGAGTCGATTGTACAAGTATGACTATATATTAAGGTTGTGTATACATATTTGCGCACATAACAAGGCGATGTTAATTTTGTCTCAAAAGTAAAAAAGCAAACGTTAACAAATGGTTTCTGTGACGTAGTTCCGCTATTCTTGGCCACATATGGCACCGAGCATGCTTTAAGTTGGTTCAGTATTATAATAACTCGGGATGCATCTTTGCCATATCTCCCTACCTGTTAAGCGTCTTATAACAGGTTTCTATTATGGCCTTGTTTGTCATGGGTAGCATATGTATGTTAAGGATTTCTTCTCACATTACCATAACACAGAGACTGCAATGTAATTGAAATATGAAGCAACGATTCCCGGTTTAGACACAAGTGGTACATTCTTTTAATGCACAGAACATTCGAGGATTTCATTCTCGAACTTCAACACATAACAGGCTTCATGGATGTAAGAGAATAAGAACAAATTTGAAGGAATACGTTTTGAATACCATAACGTGCTCATTTTGCTATTATTCAACACATTGGGCGTGTACACCACAAAAGGCTATTCCAACTATTATATAACGTGTATGGTGAGGAGTTGACAAACCCTTGTCATGACTTGGACGAATTGACCATACGTTTCTCTTTTGTCTCATAATGTTTAATACCGACTAACACCATGACACGTGGCTTGGTGTGTTTAATGAACATACTACATTTCATTATCTCCAGGCGGTGACCCAACAGATACTGAGAGTTAACAGACTGACAGCTGACTAAAAAGCTCGGCAAAACAAACACACTGACTGAAAATTTACCATGTAGTATCAATGTAGTATCAATGCAAAGTCCGCTGACTACCCCAGATTTAATCTTTGCATGTTCTTTATAATATGAAGGTTGGCATCAATATGTTTTACCTTCAATATCCTTGGATATTTATCAGCATGCGTATCATTATAAAACCCTTTGTTGTTTCCAATATTTAAAAGTATGTTACACATATTGGCAGTGGCTTATAACGCCAAAGTTCCTGAAATAAAATCCCGCATCGTACAATGTGCCAACTCAATTTTATGCTAGATATTCATGTACCGGAATGGTAAGATATCCATTCTACACAAAGCGAGGCTAAGGTCAATATATACACGTAAAGATGAATGTTTATCACAACACAGCATACAGTGAAAGGTAGGCCCCTAGTCCACGTTTACGAAGAGCATATCCGCACATGATTTGAGAAAGACGCCCGCTCCTTCTCGTAAAGTTTTTTATATCAAGATATTGTCAGAGACTTACGACCGGACCCAATCGCAATGATGTCCACACCCACACGTCATTGACAGAGACTTACGACAGAACCTACTCGTAAAGATCTCCATATCCACTCATCACTGACACGGACTTACACCCGAACCTACTCGTAAAGATGTCCAGATCCACACATCATTGATAGCGATTACGTTAGAACCTACTTGTAAAGATGTCAAGATCCACACATCATTGATAGCGATTACGTTAGAACATACTTGTAAAGATGTCCATGCCCACGCCTCATGGACAGAAGTCTGAGGCGATTCGTAAAGACGTCCATTACCACACATGATGGACAGAAACTTACGCCCGAAATTACTCATACAAATGACCATATCCATACATCATCGATTGGGACTTATGCCCCTTCTCTACAAGTAATTATGATTTTCACTTAACTGTGATATCCAGGGGTGCAACATTTTTAAATTAACCGGTAGAGCATGACGCAGAACAAGATACTTAATCTATGACACATTGATATATGGATGGTCCGTCCCCTTGGAAGGTTTTGGATCTAATTTGTCGTAGATGTTAATGGGCTCCTCTGTTCTGGATGTGAACCCAGAGTAGGTTGGATGGGCTTCAGAGATTGGGATGTCGTCGGTCTTCTGATGGCGGGATGTCCACCATTGTCGCCTGTAAAAAAACACAATCATGTTCAATTAAAGAAACACATTGCTCACCAATATGAACTGCTTTCTGATAGTAGTTGCTTGTATGCTTTTAAACCTACAACTGATTACATAAAATGTGAACATGACGTTTAGATTTATTTGACTTTATTGTCTCCACCTTGATATGACGACGTACAGTCCGCCAGCAATGAGGACCAACACGGCGCCTGTAGCAACTCCAGCAGCAAAGATGCCACCTGCAATAAAACCCATAATGGTCTCACAATCGCCTTCATACATCTCACTATATGTACCTTCGGGGTGATCCACAAACACATCTGATGTTTTATAGCATATAGATTATGACGTTTGGTTTCTCAGGAGGTTAGTCAGGTTACCCTTCTTTGTGCTTGCTACTTATGACTTGAGGTTTTCTCACATTTTCTGATTACACACTGATTGCAACGTAAATGAAATTAGAATCATTTCATGGTGACACTAGTGACACCTTCAGTCAGTGCGATGGCGTTTGAAGAGACAATCAAACATGCTTTTCACCAGTGTTGGGACATATTTTTGTCATTGTCACTAATTTGAATGACCTATCAACTGAATACTGGAAAGACGGAATATTAAGAGAATGTTATGAATTGTTTATATTGAATTAATATTGGATTGTACAATAGACCCGATGCCTTGTACCGGAATAAAGATTTGATTTCATTTGGTTTGAAGAGAACGTTGTAGGCATGAATCACGACACGTTCAAATATCAGTATTAAATATTCTTGTGACGGGATAGGCTCACAAAATACCTGGTGTTATCAATATTTGTTAGTGATTCACACACAGACATTTTAAGATGAGATTGTATCTCAAAGAAAATCGTGCCGGCACTGGACATGCTGTCAATCAGTAATTGAATAAACAAGCCTTTCAGAAAGTGGTCATGTAACATATGTTATATTTGGGATTACACTTTCTCGCTTTCTCTATCTGTGAAGTAATTGTGCTGTCATGTGTAGTTATTTCCAGTAAAACCAAAGAACCCGTGAAATCCTAAAGGACTGACACTCTTTGAATCGTATGAGTAATAAACATCGTAAAGAACATCTACCTGGAAAATCATCATTACAGGTATGACATCCTGCCCTGTGGTACTGAGCAGTAGAAGCTTCAGTAGTCCTCGTCCCTGCAGTTGATCCTGGAGGGGATGTGGGCTGTCCTTGAGATGTGGTGTCAGGTGAACGTAATGTTTCAGTGTGAGTGGTAGGCAGAGATGTAGATGTAGGTGTAATTCTCCTGGTAGTTTTTGGAGATGTCGTTGTTACAACATTTCTCCTCGATGTCGATGAAGTTGTTGAAGCCGTCACGGTGGTTGTTGAAGGAGTAGTAGTTGTGCTGCTGTTACTGTTAGGCTCAAAACACTCTATGTTTAGCTGGTCTGTTGAAGCAAAACACTTATAAGAACTTCTGGTTGCAGATGACGGTAAGATGGTAGCCACAAGCTAATCCACGAGTTATTCAAATATATGTAAGAAGAGTGAATTTAGTTTTACGCCGTTTCTCGCAATACCACAGCGGGGGACACTAGAAATACGCTTCACATATTGCCCCCATGTTGCGAATTGAATCTTCTTGGCTTCCCAAGCGAACATTTGTTAAAATGATATCACTGGATCCGAAGGAACCTTGACATTATTTGACATTTTATTACCTGAAATGACATGAGCAATCGCAAAGTGGGAGGAAATCATAAATTATGAAATTGTCTCCTGTATGCATGTTTTGGAATAACTATGAACCATAGAATACAAAGACACAGTGTAACCCTACAGATTAGTTTGTAGATTTGTGATGATGCGGAAATTAAGTTTCAATGCCAAATAATGTTCATATGTTTGTTTTGTTCACACACCTCTGATTCCAGGGCTCGTAGCCACTACCACTCTCGCTCCTCGCCACCGTTACGGATGTGAGACTGTCCAGGTAAAATTGGAACTCCGATCAATATTTGTTCAAATACTGTGTCCCAGTGTTTTTATTGTGTGGAATGTATGTATCTTTATCAATGTGGGCATAAACCTTTATACTTCTGGTATCAATCAACATTATCAGTTCCATTGTTTTGTATACTTATGTATATATATTTCACACATTAGGCAACATCCCTCACCTGATGGTTGCTTCGCCTTGAACTGCAGTTGTGCTGACAGTCCTCTGGTTCCAGGTATTGTAGCCACCACCAGGATCCAGATCTCCTCACCAGTGTTGACGGTGTGAGTCTGTGCAGGTGGAGACTGAACAGCACCATTTGTACACTGTGTACTTGTCTTCCACTTCGGTATAGTCATGTATGTATCACATCCTGGTGTCCAGCTAACAGGGAACATATCCACCTGTGTTTTCTGTGACACAGTCACTCTACAGGAACACATCCCTCCCCTTGTGTTGATCTGTGTGGTAGACACATCCAGCAGGATTTGAGTGGAGCTGGTCTTTGTCCCTGAGGAGCATGTCTGTAGTGCTTGGAGAGAAGAACAACATTTTGTCATAACCTTCATAGGTGTCATGTTGTGATGTACAGCGATCTAACATGCATGTAAATAGTAGTTCGTACCATGTTCTCTGACCAAAACAAGACAAAGGATTCATTACCGTGTACGTAACATGTGTACTGCAATGAACCCGTTCTATGCAAAGTGTGTACCTGTTATATGCATTTATGGGCTCTAATGAGCCACAGACTAAACACCAAAGGACTTAGAAATATTGAGGATATAGAGAAAGAAGTGGTCGACTATCGTGATACGCTGCCACACGATTTCCTACAAACTTTGATCAGTAGTGTATCTGGGCGCACTCAGTCGAGTATTGCAGGGTACGTAGGTCTCCCAAAATACTGAAAGACTCAGACTTAAGAGAATCATATCTCAACATATTCATTGAAGTAAAACTTCAATAGTTTATGAACATGTATTAGATATTTCCCGAAACTACTTTCTCAATAATTGCTGGGAATACCATATATATGTATTCATGGGCAACTCGGACATATACTCACATGTTTTATAGATAGAGTACACACATACACATAGTCCAGTGCATAAATGATATCCGTACATAGGCAGTACATATAGATGTCAAACAACGGTTATCGTACACTAAAATTCCAGTGTTCGACTGCACACAACCAACTTAATACATACAGTATTGATATACACACTAAAGCAATATATACAGTTTTTAAATAACGACTTACGTAGGTAACTGACACTCACGTCTCAGTCTTTCACTTACACATGTACAATGTGTGAAGCCCATTTCTGGTGTCCCCCCGCCTTGATATTGCTGGAATATTGCTAAAAGCGGCGTAAAACCAAACTCAGTCAGACAGTCAGTCACTTACACATTGAATGGACAGGTAGTCTTACCTGAGATGACTGCCGGTAGCGTGAGGACAGCCACAGTCAACAGGACGTCCATGATAATCTAAATTTAGATGTACTTCTTCTTTGAAAATTATACAGGTAGTATTCATTTGGATCCAGGAAGTGAATTACTCTTTGTAGGATAACCAATCTCATATTTCTATGTCAGCTCACACGACAGGAATACTGTTAAACGTTGTTATTCGAGAATGAATACACATCTGAGAATTATACAGATTATATTCATCTGCAGCTAAGATGTAGGATCTGTTTGGTAATCAATACCACCCATACGCATTAAATATTGTCACATGAGTATTTGGGGCGGTAGGGTAGCCAAGTGGTTAAAGCGTTTGCTCGTCACGCCGAAGACGCAGGTTCGATTCCTTACATGAGTACAATGTGTGAAGCCCAATTTTGGTGTCCTCCGCCGTGATATTGCTGGAATATTGCTAAAAGCGGCGTAAAACTAAACTACTCACTCAAGTTTTGTCAGTCCGCATTATCGTCGCAAGTGAATCGCCCAGGTAAGCAATTTCGGGGTAGCGACAATTGAGTCCAGTGTTAGGTTTATGTGTTTGAAGGCTGTATATATGGACCAGTCTGGTCCGAAATCAACATTATTGTATGTGTAATATTTAATCTTTGAATTGGATGTTGAGAGAAGCTATGCTATGTGTATTTAGGTAACGGGAGATAACCAGTTTGTATCTGGATATAATAGGTAAACCATTAGCAAATTTGATGTAAATTATTCACGAATATCTTCAGTAGATGTTATAAAGTGCTGCACTAAGAGAGATGGCGTTTTTCGTTCGCAATTTTCCAGCTTTAGGACGACGGTCTGTAAAAAAAATGAACTGGACAATATATCCAATGATCGATAGCATGAGTCACGGTCTGCATGGCAGCAACTGGGATACCATGACGTGGGTGATGCATATAGAAATGCATGTATCACATGCTGAAGTTTGTCTTATTATGTCAAATATATATGTCCAATTCGTGTCATATGTGTTAAGATGTTTATGTGTTAATGTCTAAGACATACACATAGTCCATGATCATGTCAATATTATAACTATGTACCCGTGAAGGTCCGGATTAGAATTGATCTTCAGTAACCCATGCTTGTCGTAAGAAGCGACTAACGGGATCGGGTGATCAGGCTCGCTGACTTGGTTGATACATGTCATCGGTTCCCAATTGCGTGGATTGATGTTCATGATGTCGATCACTGGATTGTCTGGTCCAGACTTGATTATTTACAGACCGCCGCCATAAAGCTGGCATATTGCTGAGTACGGCGTAAAACTAAACTCACTCACTATAAATATGTAATCTCATCAAACTGATACAAATCTGCATAAGAAACAATATTCAAACATCGAATGTCTCGCATTCAGTGTTGTCCATCCAGCTATATTACCTCTTTTAGTTTGAAATTCTACACTCAAAACACACACACACTCATGAGAGTGTAAAGGACTTCTGCCCTGCCCCACTGACTGACTGACTGACTGAATTTGGTTTTACGCCGCTTTAAGCAATATTCCATCAACATCACGGCGGGGGACACCAGAAATGGGCTTCACAAATTGTACCCATGTGGGGATTCGAACCCGGGTCTTCGGCATGACGAGCCAACGCTTTAACCACTAGGCTACCCCACCGCCCCCTGCCCCACAACGAAGCACATGTGATACATGTGGGCTCACCTTAGGCAAGTGAGTTTGTTCAATATTGCCTCTGTTCCCCCTGGGTACCCGGTTTGATAAAGTCATGTGACTATAACCTTCCAGCGCCTAACAGGCAGCTTGGGTTATCCGGGGTAATAACAATCAGGGTGTTAGCGCTTTGAGCATGCTTTGTTGCGTGGAGATTAGCGCATTATAAGTCTTCTCTCATTATTATTATTATTTACACACACACACACACACACACACATACACATTCAATTGTATTGTAAGAAATGAATATTGAAAGATGACAGGGAAACATAAAACGCCCCACGTTGTACTCTTACCCTTTTGGTTCAGTAAGTCTACATTTGAAATATGTTCCAATGTGTTGCAATTATACATCATGAATGGGAGATAACAGAATCGCCAAACTGGCCTCACCAGATACAGGTACCCTTGTAATTTAGTAATTTCCCACTTGAATTATAAATATGTTGAAATATGTTATCATATATCAGGCCTGAGAGGCAGCCGGAGAGCAAGGTGCCATGACTACAGGGTCATGTAGATGTTTATAAACATATATGAAAAGTAACATTCAAACTCTCACACACACAGTAAATCAACTCCAATGTGAGTTTGGGTATGTATTCTTTGTTACCTCATTTTCATGCAATTTTTCAAAGTGTTAGCTTGGTCAACTTATATGCCTGTTGCCGGTAATCAGGTTATCTAGCTACTGGTTTATCTAGGCTACTGATCACTATGGACGGGCCGTTTCTGTTATTCAAAAGGTTGTCGGAAAATGTGTAGTGTCAGTTTGTTGTTTAACAATGCACCCAGCAATTTTTCAGCTGCATGATGGCACTCTGTGAGATATCGACTAGACAATGCGGTGATTACTATCATTAAAATACAAGTTAGAATATGATGACGTAGAATCGAACAAATCACTGAGACATATAATCGACTCTTTTCAAACATGGGTTGCTGAGTACCTATATCTTTACCTGAACGAATAGATAACGATGTGGTGTTGGTTTGATTGTATATTTATGACATTAGAAATTTCTAATGTCAACAGAATCTTTCCATGAATACAAAATGTCTAACCTTTGTGGAACTGTTGTATATCTATTCACAAGACCATGTAACTAATATTCTATGACAACAAACGCAGAAGCATGACGTCATCACAGATCGACGGACACCACACTACAAGTCGTGAATTCTTTGGGGCATTCAGTGACATGACAAGGTATGTGTTTGCAAGCACAAACCTGGTATATATGTTAACAACCACCCTGCAAAATATTGTGTGAAAGGTAGATTTCAACAGCGTATATTGTCACTATAACCTGGTCACAATGCAATGCAGTGTCAATGCAACGTTGAACGTTTGTGCTTAGCAGCATACGCCATAACATGTTTTTAATATGGTGTACTGTTTGTTCAGATACATGTACATAAGTACCACCTCACTGTACATGGCTATACATACACAGGGGCGTGTCACGCTTAAGAAACAGCGTTAGAAAGACATATAGGTATAGACCTAGTACTATATAAAAGGATAGTACTAGGGTTGGGTTTATATACCTATATGTCTTTCTAACGCTGTTTCTAAGCGTGACACGCCCCTGTGTATACATACACACTTGAACTTGACTTGAACAAAGGAGAATGTCAATACTTAGTTGTGATTTATCAATAGAATCAATAGGAGACACTAGTAATGGCACCGAATGTAGATTATGTCAGTTATTCATTGGTGTAGGGGTTGTTGATGACCTCCTCTGGACTAAATCTGTCATAGTTATTTGCTGGTTCCTCTGTTTTGTCAATGAAGCCAACATATGTGGGGTGGGCAGGAGACTTAGGGATGTCAGCAGCGGGGCTAGTACGGCAGGATGGCCTGTATCTCTTGGTCTGAAATATGTCAGAGTGAACAGTGACAAAGGAACCTACGTTAGTTTTGACATGAAAATGTTTAGTGTGGCTTTTTTTATTAAGCACCTTTTTGACATGACAGGGAATAGTTTCTAGACAATGTCATCCTACATCCTACATAATGTTCAAAATTAATATGAAAATATATATGTATATGTTAACAAGAATGGCCACCACACCACCGGTGGCTATTCATGCAGCAAATATGTTGCCTGTATTTATAAACAAGAGAGATATTAGGACCAAAATACTGACTTTCGTCTTACTTGAATGACTTGTGCATCTTAATTAAATTTTTATCCCACCTCCCGAAAGTTTCTCAACCTAAATGTTAATATGGGACATTGTGTCTTTTTCATGCCAAGTATGTTACAGACACATATAATCTGCTCCTGCGTGGACAGCGAATGTTTTGTATGTATTTTTGTTTGTTTGATTAAAGATGGACGAAATAATATTACTGT